CTGCCCCAGACCCCTCAGTGCCCACTGCTGGCCGTGGCGGCCTCGGGGGCAGGCAGCTCTCAGAGCCTGTTGAGGCTCCTTCCCTGGGCGCTCGAAGGGGCCCTGGGGCACGTCCTGGGCTGTTCCCCTTGCCCGGCTCCTCACTGTGCTCAGGACCCCTGGTCTCTCCGGCTGTACCTTGGAGACCAGCTGTTCTAGTCTTGTCCACGGGGACACCTGAGGGGCAGAGGCCCCGCCCCGGGTGCCGGCGGCCTGTTACTGACAGGCCAGTTCTGGGGAGCCTGTGGTCCTGCCCCGGAGGGAAGGGAGAGATGGAACCATTTCTAGGGGCGCCCCAGGCTGCCCAGGCCTGGAACCTCAGCACAGACCCCAAGAGCCACTGTGAGGGAGAGTGAATGACTCCGGGAAAGGTCAGGCTCCCGCTGAGTTAGGAATTTAGAATCTCGGGGCCTTAGCTCTGTTTATTAACATTCATTCCGGGTGCTCGGCATGGCAAGGGGGAGGGCCTCTGCCCAGGTGCCGGTGTTTAGTACTTCCCCATGTTTAGTATCTGCTCTGTGCTCGCTGGGTGCTGGGATACTGACGACCCCCCCACCGGGTGCTGGGATACTGGAGACCCCCTGCCTGCCCCTGTCCCGGGGGCGGGGTAGGAGCATCCGCATCCGCTGGGCCCCGGCAGGGCTGACCTGGTCCTCAGATCAGCAGGTCGGGTCCGGCCACGCCTGTAGAGAACCGGCACTGCACGTCGCAGGAGCGCAGCTCGGGGGCTGAGTCGCGACTGGCCGGAGCCGGACCGAGGTGGGACCCCAGGGCTGGGGGACGAACTGCGCCTCGCGCTGCCTGGACTCCACCGCAGCTCACGCAGGGGCGGGCCTTCTGGTGGCTTGAGAAGGGGGCGGGCTCCTCGCCCAATCCCGGGTCGCTTGGCCGTGTGTGGGCCAATCAGCAGTGGCTCACAGGAGGTGGGGTATTCTGATTGGTTTGAGCGGGTCATATGGTTTCTCCTCGGCCCAATCACTGTGCTGCCCGTGAGGACGCCGTGCTCTGATTGGGCACGCGCGCAGCCTCTTGAGGCGCGGCAGGCGGAGCATGGGGCGTCGGACAGGGCCAGGGCAGGTGGCACTCACATGGCCGGGACAGGGCGAGTTCGCCGGTGTGGACACTGTCAGGCCCGTTAGAGGCACGTGGGCGGGGCCCGCAGGTGATGGGCAAGGTGTGAGGGGGCGGGGCCCGCAGGTGATGGGCGCAGGTATGTGTGTGGGGGCAGGACCCGCAGGTGATGGGCACAGATGTGTGTGTGGGGGCGGGACCTGCAGGTCATGGGTGCAGGTGTGGAGGCGGGACCCGCAGATTTGGGGGGAGGGTGGTGGGGAGGGTTCCAGGTGGTGGGGTCTCCCAGCACTCGTCCTGGTGCACCTGTGGCTCGCTGCGCCAAGCTCTCTGGGAGCCCTGGGCAGGCGCGCAGCTTCATGCTGATCTCAGGACGTGGGTCTGATTTCCTGGGTGCTGTGGGAAGGGGCGCAGGGGACCCAAGGTGACGGCAGGAACAGGCGCCCGGGAGGGTTGTTGCCCCAGAGGGCACCAGTGCGACCAGGACACGGTCACTTGGCCCCAAGTGTCCTGCAAGCGGCAGGCGGGGCCTTGTCACGTCACCACGGGGTGGGGTTAGCAGAGATAGGGGAGCCCCCAGACCCCGACCACCCCTCTGGGAACGCCCCTTGTTCTCAGTCTCCCCCGCTCGCTCTGCAGCCCGCCAGCCCTGCCGTGCGGACGCCGCACCCGTCACCCTGCTCTGGATTTGGCCACAGCGGGCGGCAGGGGCGGTGGGGACCCAGGAGACCAGCGCGGGCCTTGCCCCCACGCCCAGCTGCTGCCACCCAGTCAGCGTCTCCCTCGGTCAGGAGCACCCGAGCAGCCAGGGTACCCTCCTTCCCAGCCCACGGCCCCGACGGCCTCCGGGTACCCGCCTTCCCACGGTCATTAGTGAAAATCCCACCCACGCGAGATCCAGCTTTGACGCGCCGAGCTTTAAACTATCCCAGACGTCTGCTTTTAGCCACGGGAGCTTGTCCTGCACGCTGCTCAGCCTACAGGAGAGAGACCCCCTAAGACCGACCTCCGGGGCCCCTCGTGCCTCCGCTGCGCCCTCCCCGCTGGGCCAGTCCCAGGCAGGGTCTGCTGAAGCCCACCCCAACCTGCTCGCTCCTGCCGCCTTGTGGCCGCCCCTCCTCCAGCCCCTCCAACAGTGCTGAGACCAGCACTTTCTCCCCCAATAGTTCCAGATAATCGTGGTTTCCAAATAACAGGCTCTAAGAATACCGCCAAGCCTAAAAATATTCCTCTAAAACAAACTTGATGAATATTCAAGACAAGGATTATTTTTCCCCCGGGCTTAAATTGTTCTAACAAAAATAATCTAAAATTAAGAAGGATTTGGACTAAACTCTGGGACAATTCTGTAACTTGTATTTGGGAGTGAGACAATTTGGTTATGGGCTTGTGCCCAGTACCTAATTTCTTCTCTCGAACACAAACTTCCTTTTGGGAGCCAATCCTGGCCGACCCCCTCCCAGCCCCCAGGATTTGGATGTGACTCCCTTCCCTTCTTCGGCAGTGCTCGGATGGTTATGGACAGACTGGTTACTGGTTGAACACTCGCCTCAATTCAACCAATGAAAATCTGGCTCCGGTGTTTAGTGCTGGGAGACACAGTTGCTTTTCCCTCGTGGATGGGGATGTAAGAGCTGGTGCCGCTGCATCCACTCTGAGCTGGTCTGTGAACAAGCGTGCCAGTACAAGGACTGGGCAGAATCAGGGTCCGGACTCTGGCATGGGGTTGGCATCAGCCCAACAAAAGCCAGCTTCACCACTGCACATGTTTTTTTGGGGGGATTTTCCTGGCAGTGCTCAGGGAACCCAGTGGGATGCTGAGGATTGAACCTGAGTTGGCCGTGTGCAAGGCCAATGCCCTTCCTGCTGTCCTGTCACTGTGGCCCCAACTTATTGTTCAGACTTGGGTCCTGAAGACTGACTATGTGTGGGGCTTTTCCGGATGTGGGGTGGGTTTGAGGGTCCTGCTGGGGGCTGAGCATTCTGAGGAGGGTCTCAGTGTATGGCCAGGGGCCTGGTGTGGTCTCTGGAGAATGCGGGGATGGGGCTGTTCCTTAGTGAAAAACAATGGCAGGAGCCAGAGAGTACCGCGGGGAGGGCATTTGCCATGCGCACGGCTGACCCGGGTTCGATCTCCGGGATCCCATATGGTCCCCTGAGCAGTGCCAGGAAAATTCCTGAGTGCAGAGCCAGGAGTAATCCCTGAGCATCTTCGGGTGTGACCCAAAAGGCTGTGCTATCGCCAAAAAGCAAAGCATTGGCAGCGGCTGCCCATCCCCCATTTCCGGCCCACCTCCGTGTCCTTGGTCACTCAGTCCTCCCGGGAACCCTGTCGGTTGCCTGCCCCAGGCGTGGGCCTCCCTGACTCGGCTTCTCACTGCGTTGCACACACCCCCAGCCAGATTCAACCCATTTCTCTGTCTTTCGGAGTTCTCCATGGTGCCCTGCCGGCTCGTGTGGTCTCGGTGCTGTGCCCACAAAGTGGATAGTGGGAGCATTTGCCCCCTGCTCACCCCGGGTCTAGTGGGGGGCTTTGCAGCTGGGCCACGCCCATCCTTACAGGGACCCCACGCATTCCTCCCTGGTGAGCACTTCTGGGGGAAGCAGCCGCCACTCCCCCAGACCTGGCCCATGGCTGCATCTCCCAGCTGTGGGGTCCGCAGGGCGTGGCCCCCAGGGACAGAGAGGAAACGCTTGGTGGACAGTGATGGGTGGGAAGCGGGGGAGGGGCGGGGTGCGGCTCCCCAGACCTGGGTGTGTCTGGCTGCATCCCCTCCCAGGGGAGACCCTCACCAAGTGGAGTCCTCACCCCTGTGCAGTATGGCCGCCTCCCTCCCTCCCGTGGGCACCTGGGCCTGCACCAAGTCCCGCCTCTCTGGCGCCCCCTGGAAGTGGGGCTGGGCAGTACCCCGGCTGGGAGTCCAGTTGACTGTCCCGGGCCGGGTGTTTTGTGACTGGTGGCCTGGGCTCTGCAGGGTCCAGGGCGAGGAGGCAGCCTGGGTCTGTTGCGTGGACTCGCGTGGAACGAGGCCCCACAGTGTCCAGACCAGGAGGGGCCTCCTGGTGGGGGCCAAGGATGAGAGCCGGAAGCCCTGGGTGGTCAGGGTCAGTGGCACAGAGAACACACGGGGGCCTCTGGGCTCTGCAGGAGGGGCAGGCAGTGGTCACCTACTCTTCCGGTCATCACTGGGGCCTGCCGCTGACCCGCCCCCACGGGGCGCGGGGTGGACCGGGGCGGGGGATCCCACTGGATCATCTAGACCTGTGGCAGATGCAGATTCTGACCCCGGGCTGCGGACTCTGGGCTGTGGCCAAGCGTGAGAGGACGCAGCAGACTGTCCCTGAGATGGGTGCCCTGGCAGTGGGCGGGATGTGTGGCCCCCTGGGGCACGAGTTCCAGAACATTCTCTCGGGTTGCCTCTTTGCTAACCAGAAGGAGCAGCTGTTCACAGGCGTGTGGCCTCTGGCCACAGTTCACAGAAACTAACTCTAGGACACTGTCGGGGTGGTGGGAGAGAGAATTGGTGGGGGGCGGTGGGCGCAGGTGCCGCAGGGTTGGGGGATGGCTGAGAGCTGGGGGCGGGAGGTGGGAGCACCTGGGCGTGAGTCCTTCCCTGGGAACGAGCCGGGCGAGCCCCATGCCCCTGCAGGAGCTGCCCTGACCACCCTCACCCTTCCTCATCCCAGACATGCTGCCTCTCAGGCGTCCCCAGCCCAAGGCTCCTCCAGTCCTCTGCATGTGGGGGTCCTGCCCATGTCCCTGGGGTCCATGCCCCCCTGCGCCTGAGCCGCTGGGCCCTAGACTCCTGCAGCTTGGGGCGGGCGCATCAGGGTCTGGCTCAGTCCCTGCTGCGTCACTCTGAAGCGGCCCTGCCTTTTGTCTCCTGCAGAATCAGGGCAGTGGCCGGCGTGAGGCTCACGGCCGTGAGAGTGAGCGGCAGCACCCAGTGGGCTGTGCAGGAGGAGATTGAGAGCGACGGGATGCAGACGACGGCCACGCTGACCTGCGTCGGCCGCCTCCCGGACCCCCAGAGCAGGTGAGCACGCGCACCCCCGGGGCAGGGAGACTAGCATGGTGTCCAATGGAACCACAGCCACGTGTCCACTCACTGGGTCTCTGTCATCCCCCTGCTGGGTCCTCATGGTGGCAATGTGGCTGCAACTCTCCCGCCCTCACGTGCTCATCCATCCAGTGAGAGCAGGGAAGGGGCTTCTCACCCTGGGACCTTTCCTGGGACCTGCTCAGGAAGCCAAACCATTGCGGGAGGGGGGCTGGGGAAAGTGACCCCCCGGTGTTAATTCAGGCCTGTCCCTCCTCTGGGCAGTCAGCTCCCAGGACCTCAGGCCAGGATTCATCCCTGAGCACAGAACCAGGAGTCATCCCCGAGCATAGAGCCAGGAGTGAGCCCTGACCTGAGCACAGAGCCAGGAGTCATCCCAAAGCACAGAGCCTGCAGGCTGGTGTCTAATGGGATATAACGGGCTGCCGCTGGTTCCGGGCCCACCCGCGGGAGGGAAGGTCGGGAGTGTGGAGAGCCTCACCCCTGCCCGGGACATGGCCTCTGCAGAGAAGGCCCCGGTTCTGCAGACGCCTCCACGGTGGGGCGGAGGAGGCGGGCGAAATGTGGGGTCTGCCGACCGTGGTGCCACCAGCAGGTGACCGTCCACAGGCGGGCGACGCTCTGAGCTTCTGGCAGGCCCGTGTTCAGAGAATCCTGCAACTCGCCGCCCGCCCACCCGTCCGGCTCGGGGTCCAATAACTGGCGACGGTGGCACATGCCCCCATGCACGTTACAGGGAACCCCCCGCGATTGGAGTAGTTGGGACTGAGGGTGTGGGGCGCAGGGCGGGAGACGGCGATCCCTGTAGGATAAAGGTTTCATTTCTGACCATGTCAGGGTTTTATTTACAAAAACATCAGCCCCCTTGTGGGCGGCTCTTGTGAGGTTTTCCAGAGGCTGGGTTTGGAGTTGGGGCACAGGGAAGGGTGCCCTGGGGTCGTAGGGAAGGGGTGACCCTGGGGGCACAGGGAAGGGGTGCCCCTGGGGACACAGGGAAGGGGTGTCCCTGGGGGCGGCCCTGCACTGGCCTGCTCTTCCGGACCTGGAGGTGGTGTGTGTTTCTCTCAGGGAAATGCTCATCTCCGTGACATGCCACTTAATTTCCCCGCTGTCAAGAGGCCGCATTAAGTTATTCCTCTCTTTAAAAGAATGACTTAAGTAGGAAATAATGAATGCAAAATGCAGTAGTTAAATGTCCGCGGTTAAGCTGATGGATTTGTTGTCGCTCGACTCTTGCTACAGAGCGAAGGAAAATGATATTTAATCATTTTCAAGAAATAAAAACAGCCGTGATGAATGGCGGCGCTTGGATGCTGAGAACCTCTCGCCGGCCGCGCTATTATTTTCCGGTTAATAAAGGGCGCGCGGCCCCGCCCTGATTAAAGTGCAGGAACCGGGTGTTGGCAGAGGCCTTGCTGCCCCTGGAAGAACGTGGGAGTCCTGGCTGGTGTGGGGGCAGCTGCCTGGCCCCTCGCGCCCCCCCCCGACTCCATCCCGTCCTCGCCACCGGTGCTTGGCCCCCGCGTGGATGTCCCTGGAGCGCCCAGTGTGTGAAGCGTTTCTTGGTTTCCACCCCAGAGCTGCCAAGCGTGACCTTGAGCAAGTTGCCTGGCCTCCGCGTGCCTCACCACCCGGAATGTACCCGCCTGCAGCACAGGGCTGCGGGGGGTGTCGGGCCGTTTTGTGTGGATGAGCTGCTCCAGCCTCCCTGGGGAGGAAGGAAGAGATGAATGAAGGCAACACATTTTGTTTGTGTGTGTCTCACCTGGCTGTGGTCCGGGCTTGTGCAGGACAGTGTCCCCTTCCTTCCTCCCCCATCTTTCTGGCCACGAACCCAAATGTCAGCTTTGGCCTGCCTCCCCCCACCAAAGAAGCCCCCAGACGCCTGCGGTAGCTCTTCTCCCTGAGAATTCCGGCCGTGGTTTGTTTCTCCCCAGAAGTTCTCGGGGGTCTCACTTTCCGCAGAGCTGCAGCCAATCCACCAAGTATTGGGGTTACCTTTGGGGTGGTGGGGGCAGGGAGAGCATGGCCCTGACCAGTAACCCTGGCGGGAGTGTCTGCATGGACAGGTGTAGAGGGCCCAGCCCACCCTGACCCAGTGCCTCTGAGCGGCACTTGGGGACGTGGCCCAGGGCCTCCCCGGTTTTCCTTCTGCAGGGTGGAAGGGGGTCCCCTGCACTCCCATCCTGCTTGTGCGGGAGGAGCGTGGGGGCAGGGGAGCCTCAGATGCTCTTGCCGCCCACGTGTGGGTGCCTGGCCCCCCCCCCCCCGAGGGCAGCATGGCCAGGCCTCAGGGCTGCTGGCAAGAGGGTGTGGGGACAGTAGGGTCACCTCTCTGGGGACCCCAGGGCGGAGCCTTCCCGGGACAGTTGGGGGCCCTCCCGTTTCTTGTCTGTGATCCCCTGTGGTTCCCCCCCCCCCACACCCAGTGGCTGTTCAGAGCCAATTTTGGAATCCATGCAGGGAGGGATGGGGTGGGGCCTCCCCCTCTCACTTTGTTTTGTTTTGGGGTCCCACCCGGACATACTCAGGGGTTCCTCCTGGCTCTGCATTCAGGAATCACTCCTGGAGGCGCTTAGGGCACCCTATGGGATGCCTGGGATCGAACCCAGGTCGGCCGCATGCAAGCCTAGTGCCCTACCTGTGCTATCTCTCTGGCCCCGGGGTCCCTGTTTTAAGAGTTCTGAGAAGCAGCTAACAGTGGTTGGGGACACACTTTCCCCTCCTCTGCCCTCTGGGTGACAGCTCTTCTCCAAGATAGGAAGTCATCTGGAATGGAAGCGGAAACATTATAATTAAACATTTACAACCCGTGGATTTATAAACATGCTGGTTACATTTTTCATTGTCGACAGACTCCACTGAAGCTAAATAACCCATTGAAGCTGGAAGAAAAATGTTTCTTTCTTTCTTCCTTTTTGTTAAACATCTGTTGACCATGGTAGTCTTTATTCTATTTGTTTTTTTTTTCTTTTTCCTGGTGCCTTGGTGACAATAAAATGGAAGGCGACCGAGCACCGTGAAATTGGGTGGACACGGGCTGGCCGAGATTGGCGAGCACTGTGTCCCCGTGGCAGCTCGTCCCAGCTGCCAGCGCAGGGCTGGGTGGCCGTGTCTGTTTGGGGGGTTGAGCGGTGAGGGAAGAGTAGCTTCTCCCTGCTCACCCCCTGCTCCCCCGTTGGGCTGGGGTCTGTTGTGGGTCCCTCCCGCATGTGTCTGCTTCCTCCATGCGGGAGCCGGAACCCGCTGCAGGAATCCTGAGGGACGGCTCCGTCACGGTTCTCTGTGACTCCATTTGGTAACACAGTGCCTTTCCTGCCTGGGGATCCGACTGGATGGGGGGCTGTCGGCCACTCGCTGCAAGCCCTACCCCTCCCGCAGTGCCCACTGTCGCACATCTGTGTGCCGCCTCTCAGCTGTCCTTTTCCTGAATGCTGCCCAATTTTCTTCCCGCGCTCTCTCTGCCTTTCCTGGGGTGACTGTGCAGTAGTGGTTTCCCTCGAATCATTTTTGGCATGTGGTGCTCGCGCTTTGCGCCCTGGAGCTGTGCTTAGGACTCCTCCCTGTCCCAGAATGGGAGCTTGCTCTGGTGGCTCTTGAGGACCAGGTGGGCCTGGGGGTCAGACCTGGGCCTCCCGCACTCTGAGCCTGCACTCCAGCCCTTTCATTGTCGACTGGCCCTGAAAACAGACTGAGTACGTGCTTAGGAAAATCTGTCTCTGTGTGGCGGTCAGGGCCTTGGGTCAGCGCATTGCCCAGTCACACTCTGGTCTGACGCGGCTGTGGTATGTAGTGGACAAAGCTGCCCTCTGGCGTCCATAGGCGCTTCCTAGTAGCGGAACTTGGCCTGGGTTTGTCTGGGAGGCCTTCCTGGAGGAGGAGTCCCTCTGGACAGCGGTGTTTGCGCTGCTGCCAGGCTTCTACCTCACCTCCCAGCAGCTGGCCGTGCTGCCCCCACCCGCTTTCCTGGGACTCTGGCCGAGCACTGCTGCCCGCAGCTCCCGATGGGTCAGCGGAATCTCGCTGGGCCCCATGGGGAATGCATTGCTTCCTTCACGACCTCTCTGCGGCCCTGCTGGGTGTTGACACGCTAGGCTCACCACGGCTGCCAGGTCACCTCTGTTCTTTGGGCTAGTTTCTGGGCTGGTCCCAGGCTGGGTTCTATGTTGGGTCCCGGGCTGGGTTCTGGGCTGGGTTCTGGGCTGGATCCTGGGCTGGGCTCTGTGCTGGGTTCTGGGCTGGTCCCAGGCTGGGTTCTATGCTGGGTCCCGGGCAGGGTTCTGTGCTGGGTTCTGTGTTGGCTTCTGTGCTGGGTCCCGGGCTGGGTCCCAGGCTGGGTTCTGTGATGGGTTCCGGGCTGGGTCCTGGGCTGGGTTCCGGGCTGGGTTCTGGGCTGGGTTCTGGGCTGGGTCCCAGGCTGGGTTCTGGGCTGGGTCCTGGGCTGGGTTCTGGGCTGGGTTCTATGCTGGGTCCCGGGCAGGGTCCCGGGCAGGGTCCCGGGCTGGGTTCTGGGCTGGGTTCCAGGCTGGGTTCTGGGCTGGGTTCTATGTTGGGTCCCGGGCTGGGTTCTGGGCTGAGTTCTGGGCTGGGTCCCGGGTTGGGTTCTGTGCTGGGTTCTGGGCTGGTCCCAGGCTGGGTTCTATGCTGGGTCCCGGGCAGGGTTCTGTCTGGGTTCTGTGTTGGCTTCTGTGCTGGGTCCCGGACTGGGTCCCAGGCTGGGTTCTGTGCTGGGTTCCAGGCTGGGTTCTGGGCTGGGTCCCAGGCTGGGTTCTGGACTGGGTCCCAGGCTGGGTCCTGGGCTGGGTTCCGGGCTAGGTTCTGGGCTGGGTTCTGGGCTGGGTCCCAGGCTGGGTTCTGGGCTGAGTCCTGGGCTGGGTTCTGGGCTGGGTTCTATGCTGGGTCCCGGACTGGATTCTGGGCTGGGTTCTGTGCTGGGTTCCGTGCTGGGTTCTGTTCTGGGTTCCGGGCTGGGTCCC